GCAGCAGTCCCAGGCGAGATGCTTCTGACGCTGTTTCTGGTTCAAGATTGGCTTGACCTGGGGAATGCGGCACCTGTAGCCCATTTCCTGCACACACCTGTGCACGGTGGCTCTGGATGTTTCTACTCCAGACTCAGTCCACTGCTTCCGCAGTTCCCCCAAGGTCTGGAATCGGCCCTTCTCCACAATCCTCCTCAGGGTCCGGTCACCTCTTCTCGTTGTGCAGCGTTTTCTGCCACACTTTTCCCTTCCCACAGACTTCCCACTGAGGTGCCTTGATACAGCACTCTGGGAACAGCCTATTCCTTCAGCAATTTCTTTCTGTGTCTTACCCTCTTGCTTGAGGGTGTCAATGATGGCCTTCTGGACAGCAGTCAGGTCGGCAGTCTTTCCCATGATCGCAGTTTTGAGTAATGAACAAGGCTGGGAGTTTTTAAAAGCCTCAGGAATCTTTTGCAGGTGTTTAGAGTTACGTCGTTGATTCAGATGGTTAGGTTAATAGCTTGTTTAGAGAACCTTTTCATGATATGCTCATTTTTTGGGACAGGCATTTTGGGTTTTCATGAGCTGTATGCCATAATCATCAGTATTAAAACAATTAAAGACCTGAAATATTTCAGTTGGTGTGCAATGAATCTGAAATATATGAAAGTTTCATTTTTATCATTACATTATGGAAAATAATGACCTTTATCACAATATGCTAATTTTTTGAGAAGGACCTGTATATATAAAATACTAAATTACACACATTTGAGTAGATGTAATAAATGACTTTAATTCCTGTTTAAATGCAATTCATCCTGCCATACCTGCAGTGTCTTCAGACTTTGCCAGCAAATTAAAAGTTGAAGCTTAATCATTAAATTATCTTTGTGTTAGATTTATTTATAAATCACATTTAAACACTTCTTATACTGATTAAATTAAATAAAAAGTAACACGTTCTCTATCCCTGTAACAAGTAGCAGCTTCATCTTCCAGACAGACTGACGTTACATTTTCTCTCTTGAAACAGAACAATGTGTTAAATTGTAGAGTCTCACCTGCAACACGAGTTGGGAGTGAAACATGTATCAGCTGCAGCTCCTTCCTCCTCCTCGTGACTCCAACATGTTTACGTTTTATCTCCGTGGTTCTCACGTGTCGTGTCGGTGATTTTCAAAGCGGCATGTTTCACAGTTTTTATCTTTGTGAAGTTCTCCCACTTTTTGGAGGACTTGGGTCGAACAGTTTTCGCTGCGTCGGTCATTTGTAAAATTTACTTAATTTCCTTTGAAAACAGCCTCTGCTCTGCCTCCCCCCTCGCTCTGTTCAACTCGCGCTGCAGTTTTTTTTTTTCAAACTTTATTCAGTCAGTCAGCATTGACAATGAACTGCAGGTGAACAAAACGAAACGGCTCTGCAGCGCCGTGAGAGACGCATAATCGCGCGACACAACGAATTGATAATGAAATTCGTTGCCAACGCTTTTAATCATCGATTTTTATCGATTTTATCGATTCGTTGTTGCAGCCCTAGTCGCAACGTGGCGAACTAAGACGTAACTCTGTCTCCATATGTTTGGCTCTAAATTCCACTGATTTGAACAGATGTGCACCAAAATCAGTATGATCGATCATTATCCACCCCTTGATCAGGAATCCATAAGTGGCCAATAGCCTCCACAGCGCCCCCTACATTATTCCTACAGTTATAGTGCAATGATACATCATCTGATCTGCACCAGATTCTTGGTTCGTGTTCTGTGAGCATTTATACACACATTGGTGTTGTTGTTGAACATTTGACTAAAGTGCACCCTCTAAATTATTCCAACAGTTATATCTCAGTGATATATCATCCGATTTGAACCTGATTTCTTGTACTTGATCAGTGAGCACTTCTAGACACATTGCTGCTGTTGTTTAGCATTTCACTCCAGTGTGCCCCTACATTATTCCGTCAGTTATATCTCAATGATGCATCATCCGAGCTGCATCAGATTTTTTGTGAGACCTCATTGAGCACTTGAATACACATTGGTATTGTTCTTTAACATTTGACTCCAGTGCGCCCCTACATTATTGACATGACATGTTGAAAAGTATAAAGGAAGTACTCATCAAACATTCGCCACAAAACAGGAAGTCAAAATAACTCCTGTCTGTAAAGGTCGGATTTCAGACAAACGTGTAAGCCTTGCAGCTGGACTCGTACTGATATGGGCAGAAGGTGATTTTGAAGATTCGGCATATGAGCACCCTGGTGGACGTATGCGAGAATGGAATGAGAGCGTTCACGATTGTGACTGGGAGGCGTTGTTGGAGCTCCCGTGGTCGCAGGTGATGTCGAAAATTTGGCAAATGCGCACCCTGGTGAACGAGTGCGGGATAGGCACGAGAGCGTTGGCGATGGCAACTGGGTGGAGTAGCTGGATCTCCCGCGGTCGCCATAAGGCCAGAGCGGTGCTGTGCTGCGATGGCCTTCAATGCTGCTTGCAGCTTTAATTCCATTTATGCCTGTTGGTCTTTGCACTGTTTGTTTTTACACAATCAGACAAGCAAGGCAATGTTTCTAGCTGTAAAGTGTCCTTGGTTGTCCTGAAAGGTGCTTTTTAAATAAAATGATTATTCTTATTATAACTTGAATTACATAATGTCCAGATGGTGGTGGATGGGTTAAATGCAGAGACTAATTTCGCCATTGTATGGAAACATACAGTGCTGACATTGTGATGACATTATTATTATTATTATTATAATAATAATTTAGTTCAGATAGTTTCATTACATCTCCCACCACTAACAGAAACATTGTTCATTCATTCCACGGAAAAAAACCCTCACATTTTGATTAATTAAACATTTTTGATTACGATTAATTTTTATGAGAGTGATTAATTTTAATATTCAGTATTTTGACACCTATTCCTCTACAATGTGTTTACCGGTTTTACTGTTCTTGTTCACAGAAACGGCATTGGTGGACCAATCCACGTCATTAAACTGCAGCCAGTCCTCCTCTTCCTCATCTTCTCAGAGCCTAAACTCTGCTGCTGGGTCATTAGGTTCTGCTCACGCCAACATATCATCATCATCATCATCATCATCTACAGGACAGGGGGCTCCAGCTGTGCAGTCACCATCAGCTGCGCTGCTTCAGGACCCTGCCCTCTTTCATCAGCTCCTCCCAGCTCTACAAGCAACTCTGCAGATGAACAACGGCAACATGGACATGGCTAAGCTCAATGAAGGTGAGGATGATGATGGTGGGAGCACATTATTTTTCAACACACATTCCTGGTTTCAAACAATGAACGTCTGAAAGCAAAGTGGTTGTGGTCCATCTGTAAACTTTCTCTTGTCTTGCCCTTAACGTTTGATCCGCTCGAGATAATGTAACAAAACTTCATACACACATTTATCATCATTAGACAGTATGTTTTATAATCTTTTCAACACCCCTGCTTTAAGGTCAAGGTCACAAATCAAGGTCAAAGTTAACATTAGGTCTTTGCTTGTCTGGGTCACTGCTGTATAATAGTTTGTTGATGGGCGTGTTGTATGCAGTACTCTCTTAATCAAATTGAACTTTATTAGTTTTGCTTATAAGTTTAAGTTCAGCATGTGCACAACAAAGTATGTTGTTGTTGTTTTTTTTGTCTAAAATGTGTTCTGCTGTTCCTGGCCATTCACTTGTCAGTTATGGTGGATGTCTTCCTGTTTTGCTTATTGTTTAACCTTTGACTTCCTTTTTGTACTCGTCAGTAAAATCCAGTGTTTCCCCTACCCTTATACAAGTGGGGTGCACCGCCCTGTCAACTAAGCCGAGTGCCCCGTCGACCGAACACCCCCCCCCCCCCCCCCCAAACCACCTGTCGGCACTGACATAACGCTAAACTAGCAGCTCGCAATGCAGGTGCACTAGCTAAAAAGCTAAAGGCAGCCTCTTCACTTATGCTGAACCCTCACGCTGAATCCCCCCTCCCCACTTGAAAACTGTTGGTTCAAACAGCGCACAACTCAAGTGTGTCTGTCTCTCTGCCACCCCCCAAAAAACAGAGCGCGCGTTTGATATGCATCTGTCTCTCTCCTCTGCCCTGCTCCAAAACTAAAGCTGTCGGTGCAAACAGTGCGAGGCTCTGTCTCTTCCCCCCTCCCTACCGGTATAAACGGGATGGTGCGCAGCTCAGGACGTGTCTCCTTCCGTTCTCTTCTCCACCCCACCCCCACCACCACCACCACCACACACAAAAATCACAGATGAGATGAGTGCCCCGCCATGGCCAGTTATCTAGGGGAAACACTGAAATCATATATCTATGAACCATCTACTGTGGTAGTTGACGGAGGCCTGTTTGCGCTGAGATGTTTTGGCTCTCATATTGTGTATCTCTGTGCTCATGTGCTCTCTGTATGTTCTGTCCTTTCTTCTCCTCAGTCTTGGCAGCTGCTGTCACCCAAGCTTCCTTGCGGTCCGTGCTTCATAAGCTCCTCGCTGCTGGACCTGCTTTCAACATCACTGCTCTGCTGTCTGCTGCTCAACACTCCAACCAAGGTACGGCATCTTTGCAGACTCCCGCCATCTGTAGGACCTATCACTGTACCTTCATTTTGTTTATTTTACTAAATACATACTGTGCATGTGTAGTGTATTTCAGGATGTTAAGATTGTTTTTAACTGTCCTAACTGATACTTTAATTATTTCAATTCAGTTTATGTATATAGTGCTATTTCACAACAGATACTACGTCAGGGCGCTGTTCAAAAATATTCACATACATTATAAAGTGCTAATTAGTAACATTTATCTGTCTGAAGAAGACAGAAGATTGCGTTAAATCTCTTTCATCCCAGTCTCCCATCATGAGCAGCACACTGGTGACGGTGGAAAGGAAAAATTCCCCTTTAACAGGAAAAAAAAACTTCCAGCTTAGCCAGGTTCAGGACGTGTAGCCATCTGCTTGGACCGGCTGGGCTTAGAGAGGAGAGGAAAGAGACACAAATACAGAATGACTGGTTTGTGTGTAGTTTCTATGGGAAGAAGGATAAAAGCATGTTTGTGATATACAATAGTCCCTCGTTTATCGCGGGTGTTAGGGACTGTACCTGCGATAAATGAGGGACTACTTTGTGTGGGCGCGCGCGTGTGTGTGTATTAGGGGTGTATTGAACAGTTTCGTACGGCACATTCGGTTCGGTCCACGTGCGTACCGTTTCAGTTATTTTTTCACTCATTAAATTTTATTAACGAGAGATTATGCGCTGTGGAGCTAAAGTTCCTAAGTGTGTTGAAGTGACAAGTGAACAAATCCAAAGCTGTGTGTCGACGCTGTTTCTCAGATCTGCAGCAGGCAACATGTCCAACTTGTTAACGCTTTTCAAACAACATCATTCAAACGTGAACGTCTCTACTACAGGATAGCAGCTTTGTTGGTGCAAAGACCGAAAGCAGCATTTAAACGACCTTTATCAGGTAATTCAGATCGGTCCAGAGCAATAACACAAGATGTAAGAGGTTTTAAAGATCTGGATCTACGTCCAAATGTTGTTGATGCACCGACTTTAAAGTTATTGATCCCCGCTTCATCACGTCAACACTTTAGACAAAAAGTTGTAGCAGAACTTTATGAAAAAGCTAAAACTGATATTGTCAACTAGCCCTGGACCAGATTAAAGCCCTGCCCTGATGATAATGAGCGAGAGATTCAACCACCTCATAAAAAAATGACTGTTCAAGAAGAGGTATTGCTTATTGGATTATTATGATCACTCTCCTTAGCCTCCTTGGTAAGTTCTATTCAGGGGTACTGGAGAAGCGAGTCAGATTGTTGATCGAACCTCAGATCCAGGAGAAACAATGCGGGTTCCGTCCTCGCCAGGAACACTGGACCAGCTCTTTACCCTCACTAGGGTCCTCGAGGGCTCATGGGAGTTTGCCCATCCAGTCTACGTGTGTTTTGTGGACTTGGAGAAGGCATTCAACCGTGTTCCTCGGGGGTATACTGTGGGGACTGCTCCGTGAGTATGGGATTGTGGGCACGTTGTTACAGGCAGTTCGGTCCCTATACAAGCGGTGTGAGAGTTTGGTTTGCGTTGCTGGTAGTAAGTTGGACCCCTTCGGGGTGGGAGTTGGACTTCGCCAGGGCTGTCGGTTGTCACCAATTCCGTTCAAAACTTTTATGGACAGAATTTCTCGGTCTATCCAGGGGTTGGAGGGATTCTGGTTTAGTGGCCATAGGATTCCATCTCTGCTCTTTGCAGATGATGTGGTCCTGTTGGCGTCATCTTGCCATGATCTTCAGCTTTCACTGGAGTAGTTTGCAGTCGAGTGTGAAGTGGCTGGGATGAGAATCAGCACGTCCAAATTGGAGGCCATGGTCCTCAACCAGAAAAGGGTGGATTGCTTTCTTCAGGTCGAAGGTGAGGTTCTGCCTCAAGTGTAAAGTGTAGGAGTTCAAGTATCTCTGGATTTTGGTTCACGAGTGAGGGAAGAATCAAGCGTGAGATTGACAGGCGGATTGGTGCAGCATCTGCAGTATTGCGGACTCTTTACTGGTCCATTGTGGTGAAGAGAGAGCTGAGCTGTAAGACAAAGCTCTCTGTTTACTGGTCGGTCTACGTTCCTACCCTCACCTCTGGTCACAAGCTCTGGGCAGAGACTGAAAGAACGAGATTGCAGATACAGGTAGTTGAACTGAGTTTCCTCCGCAGGGTAGCTGGACTCTCCCTTAGACATAGGGTGAGAAGTTCAGTTATCCGGGAGAGACTCGGAGTAGAACCGCTGCTCCTCCACATCAAGAGGTACCAGTTAAGGTGATTTGGGCATCTGGTAAGGATGCTCCCTGGGCGCCTCCCTAGGGAGGTGCTTCGGTTATTGTCCGACTGGGAGGAGACCCTGGAGAAGACCCAAGACATGCTGGAGAGATTACAGTGTACCACAAAAGTGATTCACATTCCTGCAGATATTAAAGTATATATTTTCATGTGTCAAGTGATGTGCATTTCAGGTGAGGTATGAAGTCAGTTTTCATGACCTAAAAGAAGGTTAAGAGCAGTACAAACCAGAGATACCCGAGTATGTGTTCTGAAAATGTGTAGATGAACATATATCTGTGATATATTATCCATAAATTAAACGGATTCATTCATTTTTCTGGACTGAATAATATCGTGCATTGAAATTAAAATGTAACGTGAGACGTTAATTTTCTTTGACCCATCAAATGAATGCGGTCATTTATTAACAGAATCAAAGTTTAACATCAAACATTTACATTAATTTGGCAAAATTGAGTACAATAACAGCTTAATTAATTAGCAAGCTTTACGATTAGGAAACCATACGGCCATGATTTCCCTCACTTCAAGCATTACAACAGATATTTCTGAAAATATCTTGATTAATTTCTAGCAGGATAAAAGAGTTTTAAAGATGGAAAATGAAGTTTATCTTGAGAGAGATGGGTGAGGGAATTTGTCTGTCATAACCAGAACAACACGCTCCTTCTGGACCCAGCTTAACCAACGGTACACTTTGCAGTTGAAGATCGACTCTTTTACCTTGGCAGAGGATAATTCCGACTTCG